TAGAAAACTGTTGGGCGGAGCTAGCTGTCACTGCTAGCTCCGCACAATCGTTTTCTATTTACTTTTTTTTAACTGTTTTAACAATTTTTCTGTTCTGCTCGGTCCCTCAGATCCCACGCTTAGCGGCATTCGGCTATTCACTCACTGCTGTTCGGGATCTAGCCCTCCGCAGCTTTGTGAATAGACCCCTAAGACATTGCCATTGTTTTGTCATCAATATAAAGTAATTTTTTTATAATCATTATTTGAAAGAGACAGACAACAGCTGCTGTTTCAACAGTAGACTTATGTTAGGTATGGAGTTTTAATCATTTATAAAGGAAACAGTCTTTTTTGAAAAGCATCAGGTAGAAGTGTCTACCAATGTAAGAACATTTGTCTTCCATAAAGTATTCTGCTGATAAACTAATGTTAATAAATGTGCTAGATGTGAAAAGGGTACAATTTCCTACAATGTTGCTTCAAACCCATTTTCTTGCTTGAAATGTGTATCAAAATGTATATATTCTTAAAAACACTAACTTTGATCATGCGTTTTGTTTAGTCACAGTTTGAAAAACATTGGTTCTTTGAAGTACATCTGTCACCTACCAACTATTGTTGAAACTATAGAGTAGGCATCATCAGATCCTTATTGCTGCCAGTAGCTTCCTATTTTTGCTAATGTAGAAAATCTCACAATTTAATGGAGGTTTCAGTGACAAAGGAGAAAAGCCCTCCTTGGCAATGTGAAATTTGGAATTCCTCAGTTAAATTTTTTTTAATTAAGGAGGAGATGGATTTTTCTGGGTCCTGGGGTAGCACAGTGTCCCAACAACCTACCCTGTAGCAACAGAGTGAGAAGGTACTGGCCTCTTTTGTTGGCATTGGCATCAGTAGGTGGTGTATATGCTATAATGTTAAGGTAGGTATCAGGAAGTAGGTGGGTGGGGGCAAGGTTTTAACTTAGTGACAGGTTTGCTTTAATTGGTAAACAGTGCTAACACATCAACCCTAATTAATAGGTATCTCCATTACATTTAGTACATTGGCTAGAAGTGGATGTGCTTTGTGTTTTATGTCCATACTTTTATTCAGCTACTTTACAATGCCACACAAAGCATTGCATGTCCAGTTGCAGCATCCATTTCATTAATATCTGTGATACCTTATTGATGTTTTATAGTGTGACAGCATAGGCAAAGGACATTTTATGACCATTAGTGCCAAAAGTGTTAAAAAAAAGCATAACACCGGAGCTTCTTTACTCAGTCACGTAACCCTACTGGCTAGCTGCTTCTTTTTTTTTTTTTTAAATCAGATAGTTTTTATTTGTTTTTGCATAATAGAAAATACAAAAGACATTAACAGAAACAAAAACCACAAAGAAAAAGAGAGAGAGCATCCATATCCATAAGAGCCACATAATGTAATTCGACAAGAACACATCGCCTGCCTATAAAAGAGCACATTCAAGAGTGCGAGAAGCTCCGGGAGGCGACCATTCCGCCACAGGCGAGTATATCTAGTGAGGGTAGAAATGCCCATTACAGTTTTGGCCGCATCCCAGACCTGCCCCATCAACCGCACCATAGAGAGGGAAGCATGAGTCTTAACGTATAGGTCACTGTCCAAGTAATGTAAGGGACTCAACCCTTGAAACAGGTATTCTAGTATTGAAACGATTGGGATCGATGGTCCTCAACCGCCCAACGGTCAAATTTATCCAGCCAGGATGAAGCTTGAGAGAGGTTGTCAAAAAAGTGGGTTTCTCCAGCAGCAATCACACGTAGCCTTGCAGGATAGATCATGGAGTATGACAGATGGAGATGTTGGAGACGCTTCTTGACATCCATGAATTTCGCTCTGCGACGTTGCACCTCCTGCGAAAAATCTGGAAATAGCATAATCTTCGAGCCGGCCAGAGAGATTTCCCCCATATCCCGTGCCTTTCGCAGGATACGTTCTTTATCCCGGTAATTCAGAAGCCGGATCAACATGGGCCTAGGCGGGTTCCCAGGTGGTAACGGGCGAGAGGGAACTCTGTGAGCTCTTTCCACAGCAAACAAAGGGGACAAGTAGGTCTTCCCAAAAACTTCACAGAGCCAGGATTCCATGTAGTCAGTGGCATTAGCCCCTTCTGTGCGTTCCGGAATGCCGACAGCCCGGATATTGTTGCGTCTCAGCCTGTTCTCCACATCATCCATTTTCAGGGTGTGTGCAGAAATATCATGTAATGCCGTTTTCACATCAGAGAGCAATGGGGTCGTAGTATCTTCCAGCCCACTCACCCTACCCTCCAGGGCAGAAGTGCGGTCCCGCACTTTCTGCAGATCATGGCGCATGAAGGATATGTCGGCCCTCATCCCCTGCACCTGATCTGTGAGAGATGTCAGCGCAGCGTTGCATAGCTGTACAGCCGAAAAAACATCTGAGATGGTAGGCTCAATCGGCTTAGATTTAGTTTTAGATGCTTTAGGGCCCTTCAGAGTCTTAGGCACTGTACTCACAGTCACTGCGGTATCATCCGGGTCCTCCGAGTCAGAGGCAGAGATGTGTGGGGAGCCGGGCCCCATATCCCTCTTATAGGCGCGGTCTGCGGAGTAGGAGAGTCGGCGTGCCTTGGCCGGTGTGTCCGGGTGTCGGGTGAAGCGTTCCAGCCTCACCGCAGCATCCCTGTTCCTGTCCCCCGTTTGCTTACTGGGGGTGGGAAGTGCAGGATGCGAGCCGCCACCGCCGCCGCCATCTTGGATCGTGAGGCCTCTACCGTCCTTCTTTTTAGACATCCCCTCGTGTCAGCGCGCGGTTCCACAGTTCACCGGAGCAGGTCGCCGGGGTCCACGACACTCAAGTAAGCCGCCGGGGAGGTACATGGGTATCTGGGTAAGCCCTGCAGGTTATTTTCAGGATGTATGGTGGGAGAGCTCTCCGGGACACGTCCGACTACATGCGGCTGCTGGCCATGCCCCCCGGCTAGCTGCTTCTTGCATCAAAAGTGATTACCTTGCCAATACCCATGTATTGAACCTGGAGTTGAGGAATTATCAAGCAGGTGAGAAGAGTGCTTAGAAGATGCCTTCTTTAGATGCCTGTATGTTTGGCATCAGTATTGGAGAACTGCTATTACAGCATGTCTGTTCAGTGTTAAATGCACTTCAGACCAGACTCTACTCCCTCCCCTAATTCTTATTTAAAGTACCTGTGTCGGCACATAATGCAAATGATACTTAATATTCAAACATCATTCATTTTTCAATAATAATGCATTCTTTAAAAAAACAATGCAGTTGTTACCTGTATTTTTTTGTTTTATTCAGTGGTTAGGTGACTGCACAGGCACCTCTTCTGTCCCCACTTTTTGTGGGGTGGTGGCTGCATTAACTACAGGGACCTAGCTACATTGACATATAACATATATGTATATATATGAAATATAGCAGACATATAGCAAGGCAGGGAAATATGTTCCCTGTATTTCTACTTTGCAAAGAGGGCTAAAGAGGGCTGTGTAGAAGGGCATGTCAGCCAGGCTGACTATGGAACTATAGGCATACTATATGTTGTCACAGCTTCCCGTAGCCCAAATTAGAAGCTGGCCACTTCAGCATGGATCTATATCCATGCTTGGCATGGTCAGAATGTACCAGGAAGAGAAGGGGACTGGCCGGATTGCCAGGTATTTGCAGCAAAATCTTAATGCTTCTAAAAAAAAAAGAAGGAACATGTATAAGACTCCTTACTGACAAAGGAATATATTAATAAGATATTAGTAACATGGTTTACTAACATAAATGTTATTGGAACTACTTTTTTCAATTTAATTCATTCTTAACAGACAGTGGTAGTAACTGTATAGTCTAACCAAAGAGCCAATGCGGAAAATGTGAAGCCAAGCTAAATGCCAAAATTAGTTTTAAATATTATACTTTCAAAGATGCACTAATATATTTGGTTAAACAATCTGCCCTAGTACATATCATTTTGTAAAATAACTGATAGTACATTAATATTGGTATAATCTTTGCAAACTTTTAACTCAGAGAGATGAAGCCAAAATATGTTTATTATACAATGAATTAATAATTTCCATCCTGTAATTTTCTGTATAGGTTTCAGTTTTTACTTAGCAGAAATAACTGTAACAATTTACTATGGTACATGTCAAATGCTAGTTTCTTGTATTTACATTGATTAAAAGCATGATAGCTGCAAACATTGTTAATAAATTCCAAAAAATCTTTACTTATTTGTGCGATTGTATGGTATATCTGGTGTGATATTGTTTAAAGTACATGTGAAGGGATACTTGGAGGGAGGTGGCTTAAAAGACAGATTCCTGCTGACACCAAATGGAAGACTGTTTATGCCATCGATCTCCCATTTTATGGAAAACCCCAAGTAGTCTACTTCAGACTATGGCCAAAAAAATGTCCTTGTATAAAATAAAATAAACTGCTCTCTTTTCTCTTATCCACATTTTTATTGTTAGCACAAGAGCAGAGTGACAGAGAGATAAGCTCATCAGTGTGTTGCTTCTCCTTTCACTGTCCAGTCACAGGCTGGGTCAGGGAGGAGACACGTAAGTGTTATTTAACCGCAGCAGAGAAAAAACAGTCCTGCCATACAGTAGGCCTCGTTGTGCAGCAGTGCTGTGTAAATCTCAAGGCTGCATGGACAAAAAAAACAAATCCCTGTTTACTTAGGTTGTGTTTCCACTGTTGGAGTGAAGACTGTGAATGTTCATTGACCTTAGAAAATAAGGTGAAATTGTATACACTTTAATCAACCAATCATGTCCTTTAAAAAGTAGTTTTAATGATAGTGAACAGAATACCATTAATGAATGAGGAGCGGAGGTCTTCCTACCCCACACGTCTGGAGGGGAGGAATGCGAGAGGCACTGGGTGTAATTTCCTGATTGTGTGGGATTGTTTTGGTTTTCTGATGGGTGGACTGCCCATGGTGGAAGAGCTATTGGCAGGGGCGTATCTGCTGCGAGGCAAACAAGGCGTTTGCCTGGAGCGGCAGATTCCCTGAGAGCGGTAATTGCTGTGGTTCTCTCCCCTTCATAAAGGGGACGAGGACGGCGGCTTGCGCGAACGACGCGGCTTGCGGCGGTGTCCAGGCAGCGGTCAGCGGCGCTTTGACTGCCCGGTGAGTGACCAGGATTTGTAAATACACCACTGGCTATTGGAGAGGAATTTAGGGTGAGCTCGGAGAGGCGGAGTGGAAGAAGCTGGTGAGTCAATGTTGAAAAAGTTATTGTTACTAAGTTGTCATCTGATGGCATATTACATCAGGCATACCAGGTTATGACCGAATAGAAGACACTCACAGGGGGGCAAGAGTTGCCTGGGGCAATAGATTACATAGGAGACAAAGAGCGTAACTATCTAACACCCAATGCAATATTCAGAGGTGAGGCATTCCAAGCTCAACGTTTCCTGAAGTGTCATGTCAGAGAGAAGTATTTCTGATCTATTTCTATTGTTTTGTGTATCCAGAACAATACAATGTACACGTTTTGGAAGATTATGAAAAGTGTTGGCATTTGTGAATTGTGAAAGTTATTGTAACCCTATTTCTGTCCGACACAAATAAAACTATTTTGGGAAAAAAAGTAGTTTTTAATTTATCTCGCACATGATTGGGTAGTCAAAGTGAATTGACAGCACCTTATTTACTAACATTCATTTTGTTAGGTAAACAGCCTCTACTCCTTTAGTATATGAACCCGTATGTGTGCAGAGTCCAGTTAACACATCCAGAAGAATTTATTGTAGAATGTTTGCTGAGCAATTTTTGTAGATCGTGACTACTAATAGATCATTTTTGAAGAACAGCCCATCAAGAATCTGTCCTGATATTGCTCCAATGAATATGCAGAAACCTGATTTCTACAGTATAATGAAGTCAAATATTTTATGAGTCATTATAATCATGACATCAGTTCAGGAATAACTCCTGCACTTCTCACCTCAGCACAAATAATATAGGCAAAGTATTTGACTTGTATTCAATGTTCCCATATTTGTTGCTGATGGCGTGAATGTATAACCAAAACCATTAACTTCAGGATATAATGTTATAATATAATTCCAGCAAAGAAGCTTACCACAAAAGCGCCATAGGTCATTTGAAGGGCGTCAGGGAACCAAGAAACGGAAACTAAAAGTTTAAAAAATAAAGGAGTTTATTGAATGAGACAATAAACAAAATAGCTAAACAATAGGTGGTCAGACCCAAGCCAGTGGTCAGAAACCAAAGCTGATAGTCAACCAAGCCAGGTCTGGGAACACAGAGAGCAGGATGATCAAGTACAATAGCCAGAGCCTGGAACCAGGAGATCAGTAGACAAAGCCACGATCACACACAGAGCACAGGAACTACCAGAGAGCACTTGGAAGGGTGGAAACCAAGTAAAAAGACTGATGATTTATATAGTGAACTCAAGTCGAATCATCACTGTGAGACAGAAAGTTGTCAGACGTTTGCCAGTAGTCGCAGAATGATGATGTTTATGGGTTTGGTCATAAGAGGGCACCTAGAAGCAACACTAAGCGTCAGAAACACTGCACAGACGCTGAACCTGCAGCTCCAGTGGACAAGGAAGGGTACGAAAACCTCATAGAGGGGTGGAGCCTGAATCCTGTGTACAACCTCCATCTTGTAGCTAAATGCAACTGTACTAGGGAAAAATGTCCAGGATTTAAAATGAGCATTTATGACATTCCTAGGGCACAGCCTATGTGTTAAATAGCAACAATTACTGTACATTCGAAATGCTAAACTGTGTAAAATATTCTACATCTAGGCTCCTAAATATTAATGTATTTGATGGCCCATTACCCTGGAACAATGATCTCCAGGCAGATCCAAAAGACTCAGTTAGTGCAAATAAAAAATAATAAATACATTTTATTTTTCATCCATTGCGGGACACAGGAATTCAGAGACTGTTGGATTATACCTCCATTAGGAGAATTGGATACTGACAAACAAAGAAACTGTGACTAGCCCCTCCTACTCCCACCATGCCTCAGGTTTTTTGCTAGTGCCCTAGGAGAAATTAGAGCTTTTCTCTTCTCTGCAGAGAAAAGTCCAATCTTTTTTGCTAGCTACGCTTTTTTGCAATAAAGATTACTGCCCCACGCCCTGCTTAGCTATTCCTTCCATGCAGCTACCTGAACTGACCTTTCGTAAGCTTGACTTTGTAGAGTGGAACCTGAACTCTGCTGGACAGGATGTGCAGGGCTAGCCTGGAATATGACCTTTAGGCACTGCACTCAGCATTGTGCACTCTCCTGGTGCAATGTGTTTGTAATCCAAGGAGCGGTCTTCAGGTCCAGAGCCCTGGCACAGCCTCAGAAGACTGCCCCAGGAGCAACCCAGTTACTAGATTGATTGGGTGTTATTTACAGTTCCCACATTTCACCATGGAAGGGGTTAATGCAGAATGATTATCATGGGCAGAGCGCCACCTGTACTACATGCTTGCTTTCCCACCATTCACAATAAAGGAAGCATGTTCCCCCAGCTGCTCTTTATTGAAAATGACATGTGGAATCCTCCTCAGTTCATCTCTGGTGCCAGCCTACCTTGTCACCTTCGGCCACCTGACCCTTCTCCTGCTACCCAGCAGATGGGTTTGTGAATATTTGAGGCCTAATCTCATACTCTGAGCTACATTGCCTTCTGCCATGCAGTGCATCATCTTTGATCCTAGACGGGGGGGCTAGTCTCACTGTACACATTGTAGACACAGCTCAAGGCTGACTTTTCCTTC